AGCAATTTCACGATAGCAAAGGAAAAGGAATCTGGTATTTTGGTGCAGAATTCAGCCCCTTGAGATTCATTTATTTAACTAATTTGTTAGTCAATACAAAAGGGGGGGGGGAATCTCTGACTTACAAAAAAAATAAAGAGCTGGAGACATAACATAAAAACAGGCAAGGCATTACAAGGAAACCATGACAAAACTGAACCAGCACATGACAGAAAACCTCAGCTGCAGAATCTCAACTTCCCTTCATTTTTTTTTTAAAGCAGTGTCTAGCTAGCCCTTGTGGCTGAGAACATATGCCTGAGGACCCCTGATGAAATATTGGAAGGCAAGACCAGTGGCTCAGTAAGATGTCAGGGGCTGAGAGTCGGGGGCAGTGGGGGCCCTTCAGTTTCTTGCAAGGCTCCTTGCGCCCCCTTCCCCATGATTAGCATGGCCAGGATAAATTAAAATGAATAATAAGCTTGCAGAGGTTTCCTTATTATAGCATAGAGTACATGTAAGGCTGGATACAGTAAGCCTGCAACGTACATGCATTCAGCTTTACGCACTTGGCAAAAAGATTTTTGAATAATTAAAGGGTGGGGCAGAAAAGGGGCAGGCATGGGGAAAAGACTTTGGCCATCCCACCCTCCATTTCACCCAATATGTTTTGACGGTATGTGATTTTGGTTTTAGGCGCGATCCCCGGAGCGTAACCCCCACTTAAGCTGAGGGCTAACTGTATGTACTAGAATGAAGCCCATAGCAGTCTATCCTTGTATCATTTGGTAGTCTGCAAAAAAAAAAAATTCTATAATTTTAAAAGCAAATGTAAAGGCTACAGTGTATGGTACGGTGTGATGGAAAGCAGCAGGTCACTAGTACAGCAAAAATCATTATCAGCTTGAAAACAGTTTTCAAGTTTGGGTGGCCAAAGTTAACAGGAAGGCATGCTTAGTAAAATTCCAAGGATACATACATACATATATATATATATATATATATATATATATATATTCATCTGATCCTATCCCCCTCCTCTACTTCCAACTCAAACTGGTTGCTGCTGGGAGTATAAAGAATGGTGCCATCATCTTGGACTGTGTCCAAATGAGCAAGAGATCAGAGCTGACTCGCTGCTACTCTGAAGTGCTGACATCACAAAGAACAGACCAGGGAAATCCAGTTTGCAAGAAAACTATAAACTGGCTTGTCTCCAAGAAAGAAAGAAAAACTTCTCCCCCACTCCAAAGGGCAGTGAACCAGTTTCTATCACCCACTATAAATGATTGGAATAAGACAGCTGGAAAAATAATCTAGTGCATTTTCTCCAGTTGAAAAGGCACCACTGCATGCAAGATTGGCAAGCAGAGGTCAGGACAGGGCCTTGAAGCCTGGACCAACCAAGAAACAGTTTGGCCTATCATCTCCCAACACCTCTACTCCCAAAAACTCCTGAACAGCAAGAGGGGGTTGCCATAACCTCTCACCACTGAAGCACCCCAAACGACAGCAGCCAAGCCCACAGACAGTGGGTACTATTATGTACTGAAGTTCTCACCCTGGGCCAGCAGGGGGATACTGTAGACAGTTCAGGTCCACATATGCAAATAAGGGATTGAAAGTGACGTTCATTGATTGGATAGTTACAGAAAATGGTTACTGTTGCGTTCTAGTGGAGCTCTATATAAGCAGGCTGGCTGAACCCTTCAGTTCAGTTCTGTTCTGGCCTGTGAAGAAACAAGAGCTGTTTGAAGAATCGCTGTGTTGTCTGATATGTTCACCCACAACTTAACAGATACCAATGGATCTATTGCAACAGGCCCATAACTCAGGCTGTGTGTACATCACATGGCCAGTATTTCTGTAAAAAACACTCGTTGTACCTTAAACAACTGTTAGACCTGCAAAGATGTATGTGATTTATTTGCTTATTCGTTATCCTTGAATTGCAGAGTGTCTCCCCTAGAATCCTAGAACAGTGCCATGTTCACACCATACATTTAAAGCACTACGACACCACTTTAAATAGTCATGGCTTCCCCCAAATAATTCTGGGAACTGGAGTTTGTTAAGGGTGCTGAGCGTTGTTATGAGGTAGAACAGTCTCCCTTGGGAGGTGGTGGACTCTCCTTCCTTGGAGGTTTTTAAGCAGAGGTTGGGTGGCCATCTGTCCCAGACGCTTTAGCTGAGATTTCTACCTTGCAGGGGGTTGGACTATGAGGCCCCCCGATTCCTCTCACAGAACTACAATTCTCAGAGCTCGCTGTGAAGAGGAATTAGAATGATTGCTAAACCGCTCTGGGAACCGTAGCTCTCTGAGAATAGGGGTCTCCTCAGAACTCTCAGCACCCTTAACAAACCACAGCTTTCAGAATTCCTTGCTGGAAGCCATGGCTGTTTAAGTAAGCATGGTACTATTTTAAACAGCATAGATGGGGCTTTGATCCTAAGAGAGAAGCCTGTGAAGTACGCAGAGATTTGTGGTTGTTAGTTTTCCCAGTGATAAAATGAATTGCCATTGCTGACAAAGCACATTACTGGCCCAGCTGGATGGAGGTGTGTTTATCTGGGTGAAGGAAAGAGTGAGAAGATAAGAAGAGCTATAAACCTATTTGGTCACAGTATTTGCAGGGAAATCTTTAACACGCGCATGCCCCTTCCTCCCTGACTCTCAGCTGAAGAATGCCACTGAAGAACAGCTGTGTCTTCCTCAAGTCTTCTCTTTCTTAATTCCATCAGCTCAGCAACATAGCCTGATAAAAGACACAACAGAACCATTACATAAAAGGTGTGGGCGGGTGGAGTAGGGGATCAGATAAAGGGATCCAAGCACACAAAGTCCTTCTGGACAACAGAGGCAGCAATTTTCCAAGTCAGCTCTTCATACACCTGCATTTAAAGTGGCCAGCTCTCCCAATGATCACTCAGGTCACCAGCCAGCCACAAGAGTAATATCTGCAAACCGGCAGAGACTGGCTGCAACCTGTGCACACTTTTCTGGGAGGAAGGCCCAATGAACACCGTGCAGCTTACTTCTTTGCACAGAGATACACATACAGGATTATGCTGCAAGTGCTGGGGTTGCTCCCCTAGCACTGCATGTGTGTGGCTGTACCTGCATCTTCTCCCTGCCCCTCCCCCAGTCCTCAAGGCTGTGTCTATACCATACCCAGAGCACAAAAAAACTATGGAATGTGTTGAAGGGCACAGGATTAACATTTCCCGGGAGATCTCAAGGTTTGCCTTAAAAAAAAATTAAAAGCAAGTTTCTAGCCCTTACAGAGTGCTACTTGCTTGAAAGTGTGCAGAAAATGCTTTCTGAAATCTTAGGTGCCAGATACTCAGTGGTTGAGGGTGCCGCTCCCTGTGACAAGAAGCACACTCCAAATTACACAGGAGGAGTAAAAAAAAATGCAAAACAAGGGAAATTGTTTTTGACGTACAGAACACACACAGCTGTGCTCTTTAGTCAAAGAGCTAGGTAACATGGTGGTTATATAAGCTGGTTAAGGAATATTTAGCTTGCAACAGACACAAATAATAATAGCACACCCCTCTTCTCTCCCTATGCCCCCCCCACATAGGCATTCAATGGCTGCTTTGCTCAAAAATACTGTATTGATCTGTGCCTAACAGTGAAGATTCTAGCCTGACTTCTTCAGGTAAAATCACCTTGGGTAGGTGAGATAAAGACTGATCCTGGCAACAGGCTGAGAATTCTGGACTAGACTGATGTTTATGGGATGACAAACCTTTAAATTATGACGGTGCATTGCTTTAGATGTAAAGTAGGAACTCGATGTCGATATAAACCAGGACCTCCTTTCTCTGGCCAGCCTGTGCAGATGTTGCTAAAGGAGGCACCGAGAAGAATGCACTACTAAGCTGGTTTGCATGGATGTGCCTGCAATGTGCCCATCTCACATGGATTCCTACTTTATTTTTATCCATTAGGATTTCTGGCCATTTGGTGTTACAACACTGCCACCTGCTGTTACTTTCTGAAACTGATAGAGATGGTGAAGAATTAGCATCTATTAGTGTGTTTATTTTAGGTTTAAAACAATTACATTATTCACTGCAAAAATGTGAGTTCTTTGTAAGTATAGTGTAAGTGTAGTTAAGGGTCCTGGAAGTTGTTAGGCTGACCCTGCTTGCTCCCCCCACAGAGCTACAATTCCCAAAAGGGTTTCACAATCAATCCCTCTTCTCAGGCAACTCTGAGAATTTGTAGCTCTGGGATGACATCAAACTCCATTACAGATATCAAAAATGTTTTTGCCCACCTGCTGGAGAGTTTGTGGGGAAACTGGCACATACTATCATTAACTGTAGCATTGTACATTCATTTAATAATTTCTGGAGTTTAATCTTGGCATAAATGATTGACATGTCTTTTACAAATGTACCAGAAAGTCGAGGACCAGTCTCTGGGCCAGCCTTTCTCACCCCTGGGACCGCAGATGTAATTCAACTACAACTCCCATCACCCCGATCACTGGCCAGGCTGGCTGACGATGATGGGAATTATAGTCCAACAACATCTGGGGACCCGAGGTTGAAAAAAGCTGCCCTGGGGTTTATACTAACATATGGATTTCATGAAAACAATTTATAGAAATGACTGTCTTTCTTGTGTGGGAATTGCTATTATCACAAATGAGGATATCTCCAGAGTGGGGAATTGTGGGTTTTTTGCTGTTGGTTATGTAACACAGCTGTAAAATGGGAATAAAAAGTTGAGGGTGGGGGAAGAAATGATTAACATTTATAAATAAATTATTAGCTGTTGCCCAAAACTAATGTTGCTGAATTTTTTTGATGACAAAAAATCTAACATATTATAAACAGAACTAGTTTTTACTATGACTATAGCAGCTTGCCTGGTTATCATTAACTCACTGGAAAACATCCCAAGATCATACATTGGCTAGATGGCACAAATCCTTACGGACTGTAGCTGTACTGGAGACAACTACCATGATTTGAAATATATACAAGGAACAGAACCACCAGACTCTTTCTATATGCCGTGGCATCCCTTTATTACACAGAGAGAGAGAGAGAGAGAGAGAGAGAGAGAGAGAGAGAGAGAACGTGCACACACTGTATTGTAAAAGCATATCACAGCAGCTTACAACAATATAAAAACATATTGGGTGGGGGTAGGTGCCACAGCTGGAGAGGGGAGCAATGAAAAAACCAGTAAAACCAGCATTTTCAATTCCTAGCAAACTTGGAATTATACTTGACTGACAATACCAATACCATTTTCATATTCTTCCAGATTAGAGCTCCAGATCTCTAGGCCAGGGGTCAGCAGACTTTTTCAGTAGGGGGCCGGTCCACTGTCCCTCAGACCTTGTGGGGTGCCAGACTATTTTTTTGGGGGGGTGAACGAATTCCCATGCACCACAAATAACCCAGAGATGCATTTTAAATAAAAGCACACATTCTACTCCTGTAAAAACACGCTGATTCCCGGACCGTCTGTGAGCTGGATTGAGAAGGCGATTGGGCCAGATCCGGCCCCCGGGCCTTAGTTTGCCTACCCGTGCTGTAGGCAGTTAAAACAGTGATAAACTCAGCATGATGAATGCTTTGTTTGGACAACTTGATGAATCCGTTCATGCCTCTTCAAAGTTTCCGATTCTGCAAAGGACAGGCTGCAGTAGGGGCAAGAATAGGGTTTCCCCCCAGTATCCAGGGCCTTTGGCAGCATAGCCTGCCTGCTCAGGATGCCAGCTACTATCCAGACCACTGATTCCTTGTATCAGCACTTCCCAAAACAACACTGGAGCGCTTGATCTTGTGCAAGCTGTAGAAATGCCGCCAAACATCAGCAGTGCAGAGGAAGCCTTTATTGCATACTGGGCACTTTTGTGGCCTCTCTGTGGAATGGGTCAATCTATGCACTTGCAAGTTTAAAAGTAAAGGGACCCCTGACCATTAGGTCCAGTCGTGACCTCAGGTTGCGGCACTCATCTCACTTTATTGGCCGAGGGAGCCAGCGTACAGCTTCCGGGTCATGTGGCCAGCATGACTAAGCCGCTTCTGGTGAACCAGAGCAGTACATGGAAACGCCATTTATCTTCCCACCAGAGTGGTACCTATTTATCTACTTGCACTTTGAGGTGCTTTCAAACTGCTAGGTTGGCAGGAGCAGGGACCGAGCAATGGGAGCTCACCCCATCGCGGGGATTTGAACCGCTGACCTTCTGACCTTGCAAGTTAGCCACACGGAAAAACTTTTTGCCACAAAGGGGACATGAGTGTGAATTCCAAATTGCCTGTAGCTCCCTGGGGTCCCGATTCCTAGTGAGATTTTGGAAAGATTTGCCACACTTCTTGGACTGGAAAGGCAAGGCTTTGCCTTGCTGGGGTAGCAGGTTCTCATCAAGACATGAGCCAACAAGGATGATGTTATGTACTGAGTTGAATAGGATCCAAACCTCAGCAGTCTGATTGGTCCTAGAACAATAGGATTCAGAATGCAGCAGTCTGATTGGTCCTAGAACAATGCAGCAGTATGATTGGTTGGCAGGAACCACCCAATCATTCTCCAGATAGAAGCGAATCCACAACCTGATTGGCTTACAGTAGAATTCCGGAATTAGCCCATCATGTGCAGCCCATTGTGTTAATAATGTATATAAAGCAGATACTTTGAGGGGACTTTCATTCATTCCTCCTCACTACTATGAGCTGAATAAAGAGCATGAAATCACTTTGCGACTCTGAGTATATTTCAGATGATGAAAGTCTCCTCTTCCTCACTTGGACCCTGAAGATTCTTTGAAGCTCAGAAATCTGGAGCACAAGACTCTTACCTTCATAATGCAGATTGTAGCTAGAACCAGCAAGAATGTAGACACCAGGAGCGACTAACTCCCGCTGTCAGCCGTAGGTTAACTCTTCTAAAGGTGCTGCCAAAGAACTTTCCACTTGTTCACAGTGTGGTGCCAGAGGGAGAAGCGCCCTCTCTGAAAGCGCACCAGACCTGAGGGAGGCAAATAGTCTCACTCTGCTTCTAGCAGGGGGCTGGATTTATTATCATCCATCCCATTAGAAATACACCTGGAATCGCTGAAATTATCTTCTCTGAAGTTGCAGGCATCGTTTGCAGGCTCTGAATTCACTTGCATCTCCGTCGTGTAAGCCTGACAGCCTTTGCCTGTTGCCTGCAGCTGTCCTCCCTATGGAAAAAGAGGGAAATCCAGCATTCATAACAGGTTAAATGAAGACGCCAGAATGTATGTTCCACACTGCGAGCAGGGCAAAATAATTCAAAGGTGATTTAAATTATTTTCACTGAATTGTATGGAGCCATTACATCAAGGATAGTCAATGTGTTACCCTCCAGAGGTTGTTGGCTTACAACTCGCATAATCCCTGACTCAAAAACATCGGGCCAGGGGCACCATAATGGCTCTTCCCTGCAGTGTTATTGTTTACATTTGTTAATGGCTTTGTACAAAAAAGATAGAATACAGACACATAAAATCAATCAAAGCAATGTACAATACAAGATTCCTAAAATGTTCATCCAATGCCACAATAAGAAAGACAAATCCTACCCCACCCCATTTAAGTAGGAACACCACAGCAGAGGTCAATTTAACTACCAAAGGCCTGAGTAGCTAAAATCCCTGAGCCTGGTGCCCAAAACAATGATAGTGCCAGCTGCATTTTGATGGGGTGCTGCAAATTCCCACTGGAGATCCCCAAGGCCCTCTTCAGAAAAGTAAAATGCATAGGCTTCCCTAGAATAAAGTGGTATAATCACACACACATAGAAATACACATATAGACCTATTCATCTCAGTGGGATCTCATTCCTTAAAAACATGTGTAGGTTAGCAATGCAAGCCTCAGAAATCAGCACAAGTAGTTACTTTATATTTATTGATGATGACTCAGGATCAAGAACTGATAGAGACTGTGAATGTAGACAATATCTTGGAATAAAGTAATAGAATCTAAGACCCAGTGAAAAGGTAAGGTAAAGGGACCCCTGACCATTAGGTCCAGTTGTGGACGACTCTGGGGTTGCGGCGCTCATCTCGCTTTATTGGCCGAGGGAGCCGGCGTACAGCTTCCGGGTCATGTGGCCAGCAGGACTAAGCCGCTTCTGGCGAACCAGAGCAGCGCACGGAAACACCGTGAAAAGGTAGCAGAGGCTTAAATGCTTTAAGACCAGAAAAGCTAATTCATAATTGTATGCTAGCTTTGCTTCTAACTGAGTGGATCACAAACCCGTCTCCTGCTCCTGGGCCTCTTCCTTCGCCCCCAGGGACCTGGGCTGCTTCTTCTGCTCCATACCAGGTATATATTGCTATTTGCCTTTCTTTACCTTTTCCAGATCAGTTCTAGGAGATAAAGGGGTCCATTAAGCAGGCCCATTGGGAGGACTTAAAGAACCAAGTATAGAAAAAAGATCATGCTACTCATTCTATTGCGCGGCAGACCCTCTTATGAATGCATCGTAATGCAACTTGCTTAGTGTTGCAGCAGCTGCTTGAGGTCAATAAAGGCCAGGAGCCATTCACACCTTCCCTTGCCTTTCTCCCAATCAGCACTGTCAGAAATAACACTTGCAATTTTATTAGCATCATTCCAGCAACTGAATTGTTTAATTAATATAATTCCAAGTGCTGTACAGCAATGAGCCAGGCTGCATATGCACCTGCAGCCCTTGCTCCACCCTATGTATTTATTTAATAAAATTTATACACCACTTGATTATAAAAAAACACACCCTCAAAGTGGTTCACAAGAGATAAAACAGTAAAGTCAATAAAAATTCGCACATATACTTGAAAAGATACAAAAGTTAACATACCAAAATAATTAAAATTACCTCAACTTTCTGTGCACCTGGGTAGGCTTGTCTAATCAGGAACGCTTTTAGCAGGCGCCGAAAAGAGGACGGTGAAGGTGCCTGTTTGATCTCAGTAGGCAGGGGCTCCAAAGCGTTGCCACACTCAACGATGGAGTCCTTACAAATGGGAAACGGGTCTGATGTGGCACTAATTAGTGGTGCTAATTCTGCTGATTGAAGTGGGCACTACACAGAATTCAAAGACACAACGACCCCCTGACTCCCTATGCACATTTTTAAATGAGAAGTGGGGAAATGATGGACAATGAAAACACAGAAAAATATATAAAGATAAAACCAAAATGTCAGTTAAGAATATGGATAATCAAGCCAAAAACAAATTAAGGGAAATTACTGGCTGGAAAATATAGAAGAATGTGAAGTACTTAGGAGTGTGGCTATCAGTAAATAATCGTAACATCTATAAAGATAACTACGGGAGAACATGGAAAGAAATCAATAAAGACATAGACATATGGGGCAGGATGCAATTATCATTACAGTCGTACCTCGGCTCCCGAACGCCTTGGGAGTCGAACGTTCTGGCTCCCAAACGATCAAAAACCGGAAGTGAGTGTTTTGGTTTTTGAATGCTGCATGAAGAAGGACTTTCCTTTATCCGTCCTGAATCCTTCGCTGGATGTCCCAGAGTTCTAGTGTTAGGAGACAGAGAGAAAAACACTTTTCTTTCCACTTTTTCCAAACTATCCAATGTTCTCTAAACTAAAAAGTCCCAAATGCCGCAACCTTCCTTCATAAACCTCTCTTTTTTCAAACCCCCCCCCCCATTAAAGAATGGTTTGCTACTTTTTAATTATTATTATTGTCCTTGAGTGTCTTCTAGTGGCTGCTTGCAGGAGTCACCTTGGGGCTCATCCAGAGTTTCCAAATGTATGTTGCCTGTGGTAGCCCTCTGCTTCTGATTTGTTAATGATTGACATAGCTCTAAGTTTAGCGATTTAACGGGACTATACGTTTCCTATATTTTATAGTGCATTTTGTTTCACATACTGCATTTTGCTTAGCCCGCCCATGGGCAGCTTGTGGAGAGCCCCAGAACCCTGAAGAGCCGGACTTTGGTCTTTTAAATTTCAGCGGTGCCCTATGTGAACCCAAAATTTGGTGCCCTGAACTATGAGAAGGCTTTTATTTATTTTTTAAATTTATATACCACCCTTCATCCAAGGATCACAGGTCGGTTCACTGTAAAAAACACAAAAATACATAGTATAATAACAAACAAAACACTACCCCCCAGCCATAGATTGTTTAATTAGCCAAAGGGCGGGAGAATAGGAGCATTTTCACCTGGCACCGAAATATACGTTGTGAAAATGCGAGGCAAGCCTCCCTGGGGGGAGCATTTCACAAGCAGGAAGTCACCACAGAAAAGGCCCATTCTCATGTTGCCACTCTCAGAGGATGGTTGCAGGGTCTGCTTTGTTTCATTTAGTCCACTGCGGAGGCAAGACATTGGTCCGGCACAAAGGTTGTTTTCTGCTGCTCCAGAGAAGCGGACACGGAGCAATGGATCCAAACTACAAGAAAGAAGATTCCACCTAAACCTTAGGAAGAACTTCCTGACAGTAAGAGCTGTTCGACAGTGGAATTTGCTGCCAAGGAGTGTGGTGGAGTCTCCTTCTTTGGAGGTCTTTAAGCAGAGGCTTGACAACCATATGTCAGGAGTGCTCTGATGGTGTTTCCTGCTTGGCAGGGGGTTGGACTCAATGGCCCTTGTGGTCTCTTCCAACTCTATGATTCTATGATCCACTGCCACCCCGTCAGATGCAAAGAGGTGGGGCTGCGTGTCTTCAGCACATTGTTGACAAGGTACTCCACAACTCTGGATGACTGGAGTACTTTTCAGAGGTAATAGATCGTGTATCTGATTCCTTTGGTCCCATTTAAGAGCTAGGTGAATTTGTTTCCAGACTTTGTTTTAGGATAATTTAAGTGCTGCTGCTAATGGGCTGACCTCCTTTTGTGGGGAGGAGAGGGAGTGGCAATTGGTAGTCCACAGGTCCATTCTGTTGCCTCCATGTGATTACCAGTTGAGCCAGGTGTTCTGGGTTAGTGCAGCATCTGTTATTGGAGAAGACTATTCTGCAACTGCCTACCTGCTGGATTCTGTACTCACATTTTTCTGGGTTAGGAACAGTAATACTTGCAGGTTGTGTGCAGGCAGATTGCTCAGTGATGAATCACAGGGTTTGTCCATGCCATTGCTTAATCCGTCTGGTTCCACTCTGCATTAATGGAGGCAGCTCCCCCGACAGCAGGAGATTGTTGGCGAAGGAAAAACAAGGATGATTGAGGGTAGTTATCTTTGCAAATTCCCCCCAAGGACAGGGGGGAATGACCTTCACTCACAGTCAGTCTCAGTACCTGGCTCTTGCTCCAGCTTGGAATGCGGGAGGCAGGGAGGCACTGAGTGCAAAAGCACTTCGCCTGCCGAAAACCCTCCAACGCCGCCATTAAGAAGCAGAGGTTCTCCTGTTACTTAGAGCATAATTTAAGGTTTGAACTTGAGAGAAGACTTCATGTGGTATAAAAGATGGTGTGGGAGAAGGGGGGGCCTATGGTTTCTTTATTTAAAGCTTTCTTCTCTACATTTATGATTTGGCAACCCTCCTCTGAATGCTACTTCAATTTATATTTGTACAAGCGAGGATGAAAGAAATTGGATTGTAGATATGGAATATAATGTTAAACAGAACCGTGTGTGTAAACAAAGGAGGGAAAGGAGGGAAGCTCTATTATGCAAAACGTTTACAATGGAAACTTACAGCTGACTCTTCTCCATCCTTTATTATTTACTGAGTTAACTGAATAACGCTAAGAAGACTTGGAATTTAATTTAATTGGAAGTATAACTGCTCATTTATCTTCAGTTGGGCGGAAGGATGAAAGGAGTTTGTGAACTTGCCAAGGAACTGATAAGCTTCGTTACTGAGTCATCTGCAGTTCGACAGACCACTCTTCTTCCAAGGCTGAGAGGAAAAATGGTGAAAACAAATTATTTATTGGGACAGAGTGACTTTTGCAACTGTTGTTAAAGTTGCAAAACAATGAAGCACAGGACAGAGCGAAGGAGAAATTTCTGGAACAACAATGAGATATCAGCTCTGCCTAAGGCATGATGTGTAACAGCAACAACCGGGGGAAAGATAGACATAACATTTAACAAGGACAGAAGGAACACCACGGACAGAATAATTGCCACACACTGGAAGAACAAGGATATAGCCTGAGCATAGCTGTCAACTTACAGATTTGAAAATAAGGGACCAGCAGCCTTGAAAATAAGGGATCAGCAGCCAAAATAAGGGACCTGCAGCCTCACCTGTTCCAGGCACTCCAGTCTTCCTGTCCTCCTGCAGTCTGGTCAAACTCATGCTGGTGGCTTCGAGAACACTGTCCAACCAACTTTGTAACCAGAGGTTCAACTGAATAGAATCTGAATCACATGCATCACAAGGCCTATGCAGCCTCAACTTAAGATGGCTCCCCGGCCTGGCTTTGCACTGCAAAGTTTGCAGCAGCACGTGCAACAAAATGGCATCCAGCATTCAAAACCCCCCTCAGCTTGCATGAACTAGCCACACACACACAGCCTCCCCCCCTCGCCACGAGATCGCCAGTCACCCACCATTTTAGTCAACCAGCTCCTTTCTTTCCCCCCATAAGTCAATTGAAGAAGCCTCCAAAAGAAATTCTCCCCTCCCACAAGATCTCCTTTCCTTCCCCCCCCACCATGTGCCCCCACTCCAGACAGACCTTTTCGCCAGCAAGGGTGAGTGGGCCGTCAATGACGTATCCATCCGATTCCGATCCGAGCACTCAGCACAGGTATGTTCAACTTCTGAGCCCCTCTGAGCCAAAGGCAGAAAGGCCAGCCAGCAGCCAAATGAAGCCTCAAGGAAAACCACGGTCATCTCTCCGCTGGGAAGCGCTGAGCAAAGGCGAGTCCCCAGGCAACGCGGCCGATTTGATCAGCACAAGGCATGCAAGCTCCACCCCCCAGTCGTTCTTAGACTTCTTATTGGGTGAGCAACACAGCCAAGCAAGACAGTTGGAGCCTCCCTGGCCGGCAGACAGGGAGGGAGGGAGAGGAGCTGCTTCCTTTGAAACCCGGGAAATTTAAGGGACATCATCAATAAGGGACAGCAGCGGGACATGATGCTGGAATAAGGGACTGTCCCTCCATATAAGGGACGCTTGGCAGCTATGAGCCCGAGTGCCTCACTTGTAGCTTTATAAAACATTTAATGTGTCAACATGAATAGAAGTTCTTAATATTGCAGTTGTTGTACAAGGGATTAATATTATGACTGGAATGCAATGGAAATTAATAAGATTTTGGAATGCAGAAATAAAGCAAGTAATCAAGCCATCAATTTTAGCACCTTATCTAAATTGTATAATGTGGTATTTGAATGATTGGTATTAATAATTGTATTATAAATTGGTATTGTTATAATGAGGCTATTATTGGATTGTAATTGAAAACCAATAAAAATTATTATAAAAAACAGAAAACAAATGCCTGTGATTCTGCTATAGAAATGAAAATGTTTCCCCAGTGATCTCATTTGTAATTTACAAGCAGCCCCCCATTTAAGTGGGGGTTACGTTCTGAGGCACCACACACAGTGGTGAAATCACATATAATCGAAACCCATTGAAAAAGCCTGCAAACCACCCCCCACCCCCACCCCACCCCTTTTAGTGATGTTTCTTCAGTGCTTTATGATGTTTCCAGGTTACTTCCGGGTTCTGCATGATGTGCGTATACACAGTCACACACATATTGAACACGTGTAAATGGGGAGCTGCCTCTACTTGTAGAGGAATAGAAAGGGCTGACTTTACTACAGTTAGTGCCTGCAGATATTTATTCTCAAACGAAGCTAGATTGGAGCATTCTAAACTATAACTATAAAGTGACATATGTATTTTTAATGAAATGATTTTAAAATGTTGTCTTATTTTATTGTTGTTAGCCGCCCTGACCCCAGCTTCGGCTGGGGAGGGCGGGATATAAATAAAAAATTATTATTATTATTATTATTATTATTATTATTTGTTATAGCTAAAATCTGCTGCTGTTTGAAAGAACTGAAGGCCAAGGAAGAAAAGATTGCATACTAACATCCCGTGATCTATCTGACCTGAGGAGAAGGTTGCAGAAGATCAAAGCTATATGGAGTGTCAGATAAACTGCTGCTGTCTCCAAATTTGTTTCCTCATAGGTCAACAATATTACTGTGCCACATGGCCTATACAAAACAAACATTCCCGCTGCAATTCAAAAGCCCCACTTACTCATACAGTAAGTGGAATACAGTGAAACTCATTTCCCAGTAAACCAGTGGTCCCCAACCTTTTTTGCGGCCATGCCCCACCTAAGCATCTCTAAAATCCTGATGCCTCCCCCCCCCCCACTGTGACATATAATTCTTATTATTAAAAAAGTGAACTCCTATTCACATGGAGGCAGCCTAAAAGGCAATTCACTGTTAATTAAAAAAAAAAAAGGTAAAGTACACCTAACAGTTAAGTCCAGTCACAAACGACTCTGGGGTTGCGGCGCTCATCTCACTTTACTGGCCGAGGGAGACGGCGTGTGTCCACAGGCAGTTTTTCCGGATCATGTGGCAGGCATGACTAAGCCGCTTCTGGCGCAATGGAACACCGAAACCAGAGCAGTGCACGGAAATGCCGTTTACCTTCCCGCCGGAGGTGGGATGTGCTTTCGAACTGCTAGGTGGGCAGGAGCAGGGACCGAGCAACGGGAGCTCACTCCATCGCAGGAATTTGAACCGCCGACCTTCTGATCGGCAAGCCCTAGGCTCAGTGGTTTAAACCACAGCGCCACCCGCGTCCTCTCACTGTTAATAACTCACTCTCAAATTGCCCCCCATAAAAATCAAATTGCCCCCCTGTGGGGTGTGTGCCCAGAGCTGTAGGTAGGTGATCTTGCACCCCTGGCAGAACCGTCCAGATTGTGCGCCCTAGCCACAGACAAATTAGCTCTTCTTTCCGCCTCTCCTTCAACCCCCCCCCAATCAATTCACCCTCTATTTAAAACCATTTCTTATGAGGCAATAATCAATATTTATGGACATATTTTTAGCCTATTTTGCACACACACCCCATCGCCTGCGCCCCTGGCGGGGCCCCACCTCACCCCCCCCCAGCTACGGCCCTGCGTGGGCCCCACGTTGGGAACCATGGCAGTAAACTATTCTCTGACTACACTGTTACAACACAGAGATCACCCTCACAATTAAACAATAATTGGAAAATAAAGATGTCACATTTATCCAGTCAAACTACATGCTAAGTTTATAATATCATTTCCCCAAGCCTACAGGACCCACAAAATACAAGAACAGCTCCAGTGTGTGTGCCTGACTCTCTGCACATGGCTTCTCTGGGTCATGAGTAATTTTTCAAGACTGGTGTGACCAGGCATTGTGAACAATGCTTAGCCCACTAAACATGAAACGAACTTAATACACTCCATCCATTTCTTCTTGGTAGCCATGCAGGAGGCAGGTATTTAAGAATGATCAAGGCGGCCCCCAGAAATATGGGCAGGGCAAGGGCTTTAACCCAGTGGGGAACTGTAGCAGGTTGGGGAGAGTCTTCTACAACCCGTGTCTTCAGGGGCTTTAGAACTCGGTCCCACTGGGTCAGGATTGCACCTCTGGCTTCCCTCCACTTTCCAGGTCCAGTCAGGCGGTACTGATAAGAAGTGCAGGGGCCAAAGAAAACCATCCAGGCTAGTTTGGGGTCTGATAGGAAAAGCAATGGCACATTGGGCTTCACACCTAGGCAAGCAGCAATTTCATCCATGTAGGAGACGAATTTCATCCTGGTTTTGTCTTTCTTGCTGGAAATATCAGTAATACCCCTTAAGTGGAAAAGAAATGGGAAGAGTGTCAAGCTTCTAAGGCCCAGTAAGCACAATTCACCTGTTTTGTAGCCCCACCTCCCCCCGCGGAAGTGACTGTAGTCCTCCACAGTCTGATCACACGAGCATTCAAGATACATAGGGGGCGGGGTGTGTGCATGGACCAGCTCCGCCCCCTTGTATCCTGCGCACCAGGTAGGCCCTCTCCCCTCCTCTGATGCTTGCTTGTTTAGTGTGGAGGCTGGAGGCAGTTTGAAGCCTACTCAAAACTGGGAACTTGGGTAATGTAACACAAAGGCTTCTAACTATTTAGCCAAATGTGGTTAGAAGCCCCTTTTAGACTTTTGAGCCAAACACAGGAATGTTGGGGGCAGAAGAGGCAGGGCCCAGTGTCATGGGGGGCTGGAGGTGGGGGCAACATGCTGGAGAACCTTACTTGTCACTTTTTCTAGTAGTTAGGCTGAGAGGAGCAACTTGCCCATTGCCTTGATGGCTGAGGAAATGATTTGAACCCAGGTGCTCACCAACAAATTTCAACAGCCTAGCATTATGCCAAGTATTTTCCAATTTGACCTTTGTCTCAAAAATAGCAATTTTAGAAGGCTGTTTTTTTCAGCCTATGCTGTTGCTTCAGTGACTGCTATCTCTCTTTATCATTCCTTCTCTAGTTATCCTAGTCAATCAGAGACCACTGCTAAATGTAATCATGTTAGGATGCTATGGAGCTAATCAGACATGCTGCTGATATCATTGAATCAAAAAAGGATGAAAACACTGGCATCAAATGGAACCCAGAGGTCCACCAGTTTATTGAATTCTTTTCTAATTCAGTGGGGTAAGTAAAGCCCATTAGAGTAGGGGCAATGCTGAAGCTCCTGGCTTTTGGTTTTGCAGTATTCCAGCTGCTCACCCAGGGAGCTTCCTGGCCTCTCAGGTCCAACACTCTAACCACTACAGCACACTGGCTCCCTACAGTGCTTCTGCTATGATGCAGCTATATAAATTAAGCAGGTAAATAAATGCGGGGAAAACAAAATGTCCCTTGGAGAAGGATCTGAAAGATTTTCCTTGAAGCTTGAATTTGTTTTATTCTGGATTGTTTTATTTGATGCTTTAATGTATTAAATGTGCATAAACTTTGAGATTTTTTCTTTAAAATATAAAGCGGTATAGAAATGAAATTATTATTATTAGTAATAGTAGTAGTGGTGGTAGTAGTAACCCTCCATGATAAGAAAACCGGGGGACGACGACGCTTTAAGTAAGTCAGAAATTAGATCATCATAACAAAAGAAAGAAATCTCTATGGAAAACCGTGTTTTAAAATTTTCTGCTCTCTGGTGCCATCTGGTGTTTATAGCACATTCAAATCGCTGTATCTTTACTAATGTAAGTGAGTCCCAGGTCACATAAGCAAGTACTTAGAATATTGCTCAGAAGTATACTGCGAAGGGCTGGGGCAGGTTTAACAGAGCTGCCCAGACTGTCCCAGTGGCCCAGTTTGTGAGGGTGCAGCTTGAATGCCTTTCTGATATATGTCTGAACAGCAAATGAACTTCTTCCTGTTTGATGCCAAATGTAGTTCACTGCATTAGGTTCAGCGTCTGGGTTCAGGTGAGAAGTCTGGTCACCTGTTTCTTGGAATGGAATAATGGAATTATGGCTAATGCTGCCATTCCCCCATTTCTCACCCATAACATTTTAGCATAAAGGAATCAAAAAAGGAGAGGAGAGGAGAGGAGAGGAGAGGACGACCATTTGTACAATCTGCTTGTTTTTCTCATCTTGCTCCTGACAAAAAATTTACTGCTCCTTATGGCGAAATCCGGCACAAGGATGATAATGATGACCATGTATTTTCTGCTCAGTGGTCGGACAAAGACTGGGAATTCAAGTGTGGTGGAAACTCTTCTTTAGCCACACGATGGCACTATTTTCATGGATGAAAAACTTCTAGAGAGCAGCCAATCAGAGCAGGAGCAGCAAAAAGTGAAGGAGGTCTCTTTAACCACCTGAAGGTTTCTAAAAATTTAATCCATGTTGTATGGGACCTTAGCATGTTGTTTCTGAAAATGGGTAAATGGGGTAGCAGCAAATATCTGGGGAGGGAGGTGCCTGATATCCTTCACTACTCTTTGAAGTCATCTCTGAACCTCCCAAAAGCATGAGCAAAGCACTCCACAGGCTTATGGCATCTTCTTCTTTTCTGCCATTAAATTCTCAGTTCTGTATATTTCCCCCCACTCAGGGCTCTTCTAGAGTGCTGCTGTTTTTTTATTCAGACACATATCAGCAAATTCAGGTGGTGCAATTAAAGTTGATTGGGAAACAAACAAGTCTCTCTCCACTCCCAAAATCAAGCCATTGTTTTAAGGTGTGCCATTCTTAGATTTCAAGTTAAAGTGTTCATTATGTGCATATTGCCTCTGATGGGTTATGGATCCAAAAAATGGACTATGACATAGAGAAACATGAACAGCTTAAGAACAACACAGCAGGCCATGGTTTTGTGCAATGGTAGGAATATCATTAAAAGGTAGAATAACTAGTAATTGGATACAACAAAAATCAAAAGTTATAGATGTAGAGGCCAATGGAATAAAGCAATGTTAGTTTGGAGGCTCTACAATTTTAAAAGACCAAGGGGATGACCACTTTTGTGGTCCACTTGCCTTTCCTCCACTCTTTCCAGGCCTGCAAAAACCTGCTCTTTAAAGTTCAATTGGAGCTAACAGCAATCCATGGAAAACCCAGATTGACGTTTGCCCTGATTCAGCTTTAAAGAGCAGGTTTTCGGAGGGGGGGAGGAAAACGCTTGCACACAGAGCATTAAAGCATGGACCTTTGTGTGGAAAAAGCACAGCAAAAGGTAAGTGTGGATAAGCCCTGAATGATTACAGTCATACAACATGCACAATAATATATAGCATTTCATACTTTTTAAGGAGTGCGTTCTTCCTTTTAGCAACTTCACTGATCAGTCTGCTCATTGGAGGGAGCTCACTTGACCCTGAGTATGAGAAAGAAAATGACAAATATGAACTTCTGTATTTCAGCCAATAAAAGGAAAGTACACTTGCTGCTTTGATTCAAGTTGCCTTTAGTGAGAGATGGCCTGTCAGGCTTGAGGAATCTAAAGTCCACACTGGGATGGTTGTGTAACTCTGAGATGAATCCTAATTAGATGTTGTGGTAGCAGAAAGTCCATATATGACATCATCCACACACATGCAAAAAAAATTGTCTGCAGCTCTGAGGGGAACCCAAGGTTTGCAGAAGTACAAACAAATTAGATGGGGGGTAGGATTCAAAATGCCTTTCTGGCCACCACAACTCCCAACCCCAGTCCAGCAAATTTTAGAAACTCTTCACAAGACTTTGAAGAAATTCTGTTCTATAGGAGGAATGCAACCTAACTTTTGAAAAACTGCTGAAGCCTTATATACTGTAACTTTTGATGACAGTGTTGTGCATGGAGATGAAAAGGACTGATCTATGCTCTACCCCTGTACCAGTTGCTGTTGCACCCAGGTCCTACCTGTGAGCTTCCCGTGGGCGTCTGGTTGGCCACTGTGGAAACAGGATGTTGGACCAGATGAGTCCTTGGTTCAACCCAGCAGGGATCTTATTGGAGTTTTAGTTTTTAATCTCGCACACATGAAACTATTTAAAGGCCAAATTACTCAAATTAATCCTATGTCTACCCCATCCTTATGCAAAGCAGGAGAGGTGCCCGATCTGATGTTCACATCAGCAGGTCACAGGGTGGGAGGAGTGCCAACCATTTCCTCTCCTTCATACCTTCTTACAATTGCTGTTTCATTGTTAAATGTTGTTGTGCTTCCCCTTGGTGTTAACTGGAAAATGACAATAAAATTATTCATTCATACCATTAAATACCCTTGTGATCCAACGTGCCTGAAGTTCCGCTGCTGGCAGAATGGGTCCAGCTAGTGCTATAAAGCCAACGAAAGCCAACGTGGGCTTTTCTAGGTGAGGAGGAAAGATGTGCTTATACAGAGATGTGCTGCTCCTGCAAGCATCACGCAGAGACTCTTCCAGGAAGGGAAATGTGGCAGAGTAGCCAGTTGTAAAGATGACCGTGTCTATATTCTCTTCTACTGTTTCATCTTCAAAGACGGCAGAGGTGTCCGTAAACCTCTTCACATTTGGCTTTACTGTCACAGTTCCACAAAGGATACAGCTAGGCAGCTCATCATTCAAAATTAAAGATGTCCATGAATTGCTAAATAGCGGAAAGTGGAAAGAAACACCATTAGTCCATATGTGACCACCAGCTGTCCCTCTTTACCAAGGACAATTCCTACTATGCCACTGAGATATCATAGGCATGCCTGTTAAATATGTTGTTGGTGTGTACAAGCATTCTTCTGGTTTCCTCCCTACCCCTGACCTCTACAAGTTGAAACTCTCATACCCTCCAACATTTATCCAAAAAAATAGGGACATCCTAAGGAAAAGTGTGACATTCTGGGACCCAGTCAGAAACCAGGACGGCTTCTCTAAATCAGGGATGTCTCCGGGAAATATGGACACTTGGAGGGTCTGATCTCTGAGGAGGAAGGAGCAGATACATGGAATTTATTTATTTCTTTGTTAGAATTGCATATCACCCTTTATCTGAAGATCTCAGGGCGGCTCACAGCATAAAAATACAAAATGAGAATACAAAATATGTAATAAAACAAAATAAACCAATAGCGCCCCACAAACACATTTGAAGACCAAGGCCTGTTTATGGGGAGCCGGAGGGACATTGCTGCTGCCGTGTGTATGGTGGAAAGACCTGCTCCCTGCTGCAAGGTCCATTTCCCCCTGGCCTGGAGGGCGGTGCCCACGCATATCCTGAACAGCTCAAAGAGGCTCCTGGGAAGCCAGAGGGACATTGCTGGAACAACTTGGATTGGAGCAATTTGGCTAAAATGTTTTTAAATGTTTTAAACAGTTTTAATTTGGGGTCCTCTGTTTGGGTTGGGGTTGGTTAAATGTTTAGTTGGGGTTGGCAGTTATTTTAATTTGGGCCTAACTGTAAACTGTTGTTGTTATTATTATTATAGATTAATGTTTTCACCTGCCGCCTCAAGATATATGATGAAGCCGCCAGGCAACTGGGTGGAAGAGGTGAATGCCCATAGTCGATAAGTTCTCATAAAACCTGAATTGGTGGGAGCTCTCAGCAGCCAGCCAAGCTGAGGTCAGTGTCTTTTTGGGCTTTTGACAGCATCTTGTTCCATTGCTCAGCCTACTGAGATTTAAGTGTAAGTGTTTGTGTTAATTAGCTGTATAAGATAGTGTTTCTTGTTTTCTTACCTTCTGAGCCATTTTTATCTGTGTAATTATTTGAAGTTTTTCTCTCTTGTATAGTTTTGTTTTTGTAAAGTGTGTGTATGATTTTATGAAATTTGTTCTGGTCTGAGTTCCTGGACCCTTTAATTTTAGCCCCGCCTTTCGGAGCAAGGGTCATCCACCACAGCAGGTATCCCTATTTGGGATTTGGTGGTTTAGTAGAGGCAAGTGCTGCCAGACCGCCACCTTCCCCAGTTACCATAAATATTTTGATAGTAAAACTGCCTGACACTTTTTGTTAAATGCTGCTGCTTGGACCTGCTTTGTGAAGCACTTTACATTCTTCAACTCACTGTTGGACTTTCCTTGGAGTGATACTTGCTGGAAAGAAAGGACTGGTAAGCACTCTGTGGTACCTTCATGAGAACATGGAGGGGAAAGACTCATTCTGAGGGGTTGGAGGAAAGGCTGGGCCTGTGCCGGAGGCTGGGTCCTCTGCATGCCTTTGTCACGGCTTACAAGAAGCCAGTGCTCCTTTCGCACTGGCTCTAACGCTCATTCTTGTCATATGAAGCTTTGCTGGATTTTCGTGTCCAAGGCACTGAAGGGTACTTCAATGCCTTAGACACGAAAATCCAGCAAAGCTTCGTATGACAAGAATCACACTCTAGCGTATAGATAGTTACTGTGCACTGTTGCAGCTACAGTGAGCTTTCAGCAAAATGATCTTCTTTGTAGAAGTAACTCATAGAAACAAGAGCTCCTTGACAATATGTATGTGCCTTGACAACTGTGAAGAAGAGAAATTTGCTCAAAATGCATTGGGAAATGAATCCCCCCTCCCAATAGATACTGTCCACCCATTGAGGTTAATTACTACTTAAGAATGCTAATCTCAGAAACTTCAGTTTCTGTAAGCAGGCCATTCTTGTTTGCACATTCTTAATTCAGAAGATTACCTTTTAACAGGGATCAAGCCATAGTTCTCATGGTTAAACCATCGATTTATCTTCTTTGCCATTAGCTTGTATGCGGTGCCTTCTGGAAGCAGCTTTTCAATTAACTCATAAAAGCGAGTTGTCCAGGCCATGTCAACGGGCCAGCCAGCTTCTGAAATGCGACTTATCACCCATGCTCCGCTTCTGGTGCTGAGGAAGACCTGAAGAGGATTCAGAGTGAAGAAGCATATCCTTAGGGTGCTGCCGACTGCCTGGCTGATGATTTGGGAGCATGTGAGAACTGGTCTGATGGAGTGACAAAGAGACCAAGGCCCAAAAGCTGGCCAGCTCCTTTTGATATTGCTCACACAATATCATTATCTTAATAGCAAAAGTAACTCCTCAGGAAATAGCCATGAGATGATGAAGCGGGAGACCAAGATCATACCAAGAGCCATGCCATATGTCCTTTTCATTGTGCATTCATGAGTGCTTGTGCTCCTGATAGTATGGGGCAGTTACATGTCATCCTGCTTTCAATACTGTTTGTTCCTGAAGAAGTTTCAGGGTGGAAAACCACATTTCCAATCAGTGCATGTCCCGTAATTTCCTGCTGAAATCCTTCAACTTTTTATACCACAAATGTTGAAATGCAAATGCCCCTCTAGAGGGCAATAATGCAGCAACATTGGGACTAAAAGTGGAAGGGTGTGCAAACTAGGGAATGCAACAAATGGGCTCTCTACAGACCCCTTAAAGTGGCAGAAGCACCAGAGAGCTGGGGAGAGGCTCAGAGACCACCTTTCTCCTCTTAGCTACCCCACCAACAAAAATCGAGCCAAGAGCACATTCCATCTGGCCTCTGTGAGGAGAAGCATCACATCTGGTGCTTCCTGACATGATACTTAAGGACAGTGGTGGAAGCAGTACCAGAGTGCAGAAAATCATGTCCCACCACCAAGAACCTTTCAGAGTTTTGTATGAATTGCATACTCTGCTGTAAGCTGATCAACATCCATACCCTTTTAAAATGTGGATCTTTTGGGGGAGGTATTATTGGGTTATTGTTTTTATTTTATATGCTGCGATATTTTTATGTGAACTGCCCTGATACCTTTGGTTATAGGGCAGTATATAATTTCTAACAACAACAACAAGCTGCCTTGAATATCATTTAGATCAGCCATCCCCAACCTGGTGACCTCCAGCCAACATTTGCACCATACAAGAAAAGCACATGGCTCCCCACAAAGGATCCTGGGAACTGTAGCTTACTCCTCACAGAGCTATGATTCCCAGCACCCTTAACAAACAAGCTGTGGTGTGGACATGGCCACTGGTCATAGTGGCTGGGCTGAAGGGAGGTGTAGTCCATAATACCTGGAAGGCACTAAGCTGGGGGAGGCTGATCAAGATCAAAACACAGAGTGTGAGGGCCAAGCAAAACTCCATTTCCTGATGTGAACACTATTAACAAGTACTTTTAAAAAGGATGTAAATAACTCTAGGCTTGGGTTGGAAGTTTGAGATGGACCACAGGGAATGGGGAGGGAGAGATTAATCCTCCCCTCCCCCATGCTATGTTCCAAATGAAAATTACCCTCCCCAACTTCTATCTACATCAGCTGAGAGGTAAAAAAGTTAAAGATTAAGTGCTGTCATCCCATCACACAGATCTGAACTGGCAAGCTCAAGAGGCTTGGCGATTTAGACTACAGCGCCACCTGCATCTTATCAGCTGAGAAGCTTCCACTGGCACCAATGCAGGCTTCCTTCCCAATGCAGTTTCTGGGTGGGGACAGGATGGGACAAATATTTCTCAATGGGAAAGGGCTGAATTTGCCATAATCATAACAAGCCTTGGCCCCGAGTGGTAGTGATGACTAAAATTTGAAGTATATGCACATTCCGGACAACGCACACCACGGTTGGCTGTGAAGCACAGTGGCTAAGAGATGGGAACCGTCATGAATCAAGGAGTCCCTAGTTAAAATCTTGCCTTTACCACGAACCCACTAAGTAGACTTCAGCAAGCTGCTTCTTTCAACCTCAACACACCTATTCCCATTTGTAACATGGGAATAATAATAATAATGATCTACCTTACAAGGCTGTTAGTTAGTGCCCCCCCCATAAAATTTCTACAGCACTTGATTGTAAAAACAACTACCACCACCACCACCCTCAAAGCAGTTTACAAAAACACAAAAACAACAAAATTATTGGTAAAAATAATTAAAAACCACCTTAAAAGGGCTGTTGTAAGGGCTAGACTTGAAAGCACTCTATAAATATGCTATTCTTGTTATTGCTCCAGGGTGATGATGTGATTTATCTCCCACTCAAGACTGAAATAAGCTCAGCACTTATTTGTCCATAAAGGATGGCGGTACCTTTGCAGCTGTGCGGCTGATGTCCACCGCAAGGTCCCCTCCAGTGTTGCCAGCACCAACTACAAGGACTTTTTGCCCTTCAAACCCTTTTTGATCTCTGTATTCCCAGCTATGGAAGTAGCGACCTTTGAAGTTTTCAATCCCTGAGGGGGGAAAGAAGGAAATGATTTTATACCCTTATATAGCAAGAGATTTCCCACTGGATAATAGGTCCCCCCCCCCTTCTCCTTAGCTGCTGCTCTGCACAGTGCCGGCTGTATACTGCCATCTTATTATATCCATGTATCAAAGGCTAAGGGGAAACTCCAAGGCAAAATACCTCTGAGTACCATCTGAATTCAACTATCCAGATTCTTGGGCTGATGGAACAAGGAGACTCTCAAGTTCTCACAGAGGATTAAAAAAAACCAATCCACGGTCTGTCAATAGCTATCGTCCATAAAAGCTAAATGGAACCTTCATGTTCAGATGCAGTATATCTCAGACTACTGCATGCTGGGGATAAAAAAAGGGTTAGGAAATCCCTTAAGCTCATACCCTGTTTGTGAGTTTTTCAGAGACTGTTGGAAACAATAGAAACATTTTCAAATTTACCAGCAAAAACATCAATTCTTCTCAAATGTAAAGGGGAGTCTTAATTCAAACGCAACTTTCTCCTTGCAACTGTAATGACCAGCTGTTTGTGATTATTTCATTAGGGCTTGTATGGGAGAACTTCCCTGTGGATTGTACCCTGTGGGTCCGGTGTGCCTTCTGTTCTGCCACCCTTCATGGCCTTCAAATTCCACTGCCTGATGACAAGCCAACCACTGGTACCAATCAGACATGGCAACTCTTGTCTATCAGTGATTTCATGGCACGGTTAATTCCTTTGACTGAAGGTACCAGATATTCTGAGATTTTAGTACACATCTCTTTTGCCTGAGGAGAGAGGGAACACAATCATGCTAGCTTATGTGCTGTTTCAGGTAATGCATTCAAAACGCACCTGGGAAAGAATCCAGTGGAAGATTGATCTCTGCATAGTGGCCACTGCAAACCATTACGCCATCAAAGATTTCTGATGTCTGCTCCCCATTAGTCTCAGTGTCAACCACCCATTGTCCAGTGGCTGTGAAGTGGGGGTGTTTTCTGATGCTGCATACAGTGGTCTTGTAAAAGCAAAACAACAACAACACACAACAGAATAAAGCAACTCAAATGATGCTCGCTAGGCTTGTCCACACTTTTGCCTGTTCTGTGCCTAGAAAGCACGGGTCAAAGTGGTTTTCCTCTTGAACTGTGGTGTTGTGAGAGCTTGCATGGCATTAAATCACTAAGAGATAATTACATATGAAGGAAGGAGGGAGGGAGCAGTCAATGATTTAAAGTTCTATATTTGTTGTGCAATTCTATCTATGTGATAATTCTTGTAAAATGAGAAAATTTAAAAGAAAATTTAAAAAGAAAACAGGGTGCAAAAACAATCTGTTTTATGTAAGCACAGAATCAAGATTAGAACTGTAGAGTTGGAAGGGTTAAATGCGATATATAGAAACCAAAAAGCTAAAATCATAATAAATAATGAGTTATCCGAAATCTTTATTATTTCTAAAGGCACCAGGCAAGGATGTCCGCTATCACCGCTTCTATTTATTACAATACTGGAAACATTATTAAAAGCAACTACAGAGGAGTCAAAAATAAAAGGAATTACGGTAGGTTGGGCAGCAGATCTTACAAATTAAAAGCTTTTGCTGATGATTTAATCATAATGACAGAAAACCCAGCAGAAAGTATAATAGAAGCATTGGTAAAATTAAACAAATTTGGTCAGGTCTCAGGTTTTAAATTAAACAAAGATAAAACCAAATTATTAGTGAAAAACATGGCAGAACAAGAAAGACTAGAGTTAGAAAAGACGACAGGGTGCAAAATAGCAAACAAAGCAAAATATCTAGGAATCTGGATTACAGCAAATAATATAAACTTATACAACAATAATTATACCAAATCATGGAAGGAAATAAAAAAAGAATTAGAAATTTGGGGGAGGCTAAATTTGTCCTTATGGGGAAGAATAGCCACAATTAAGATGACCATGATGCCGAAAATGTTGTACCTCTTTCAAACAATATCAATAATAAATGGGTTAAATTGTTTGAAAGATTGGCAGAAAGATCTGGCAAGATTTATCTGGCAGGGTAAAAAGCTGAGGATTAAAAGTTTAAATTGTTAACGGAAGTAAAAGATAGAGGAGGGTTCACTCTGCCAGACCTTAAATTATATTACGTGGCTGCATGTCTAGTATGGCTCTAAGTATGGATAATATTAAAAACTGCCAATATACTAGACATTGAAAACTGGGACAATAGGTACGGCTGGCATGGTTATTTAGGATACGATAAAGTCAAAATGCATAGAGGACTCCTTAACCATATAATAAGGAGATCGCTTTTTACAGTATGGGAAAGAAATAAACTATTAGAACCAAAAACCCATTGGTGGTTGTCTCTGTTAGAGGCAATCGCAGTGAAAAAGAAAAATATGGAAACTAATTGGCCTCTCTATAAAGAAATAATAGAAGAAGAAAATAACCGATTAAAACTTTTACCACCTAAATGAAATAATTAAATCTGATTAAAAAATAAACGGATTGGATACAAAGATAACAGATCTAGAAACAGAATTAATATTAAATAATATAAAGACACTATCAAAAACATATAGACTATTATTAGATTGGAATCTGAAAGATGAAGAAGTAAAGGAAGTGATGGTGAAATGGGCTCAATATTTTGGCTACCCAACTGAAATAGAAAAATGGGCAGAATTATGGCAAAAAGATTTAAAATTTACAGCGTGCGATCTGATTAAAGAGAACTTTATGAAAGTGACCTACAGATGGTACCTGACCCCATCCAAATTAGCTAAAATCAATAAAAATAATAACAAGTGTTGGAAGTGTAAACAAAATATAGGAACCTTCTTCCACCTGTGGTGAACTTGTCCTCAAATAAAACAATTTTGGGACATGATATATGAAGAACTAAAAAAAAAATGCTAAAATGCACATTTCTAAAGAAACCGGAACCATTTTTATTAGGCATTTTAACGGTAAACATTCCAAAAGAAAATAAAAGAGTGTTTCTTTATGCAACAACAGTGGCCAGAATATTAATAGCTAAATATTGGAAAAATGAGTCAATATCAACTAAAAACGAAGGGCAAATGAAGCTGTGGAACTGGCCAAGATGACAGACTTAATAAGAAACCACTTGGGAGATAAGGTCAAAAAACTTGGTTGTCCCTTGATTAAATTCACAGATAAAAGTTCTGTTCACTAATTAAATACAGATTACTTAAAAGTAAGTGCAGTATAAAAACCGCAAAGAGCTAGAGGGAAGTCAAAAGAAAGCAAATAAGGAACACAATAGAGGAACAGGAAAAAATGTGAAGTGTAGAAATATGAAGGCAAATTCTGTCCAGGAACTTTCTGTATAGATTATATAAAATATGGTTTGTAGTCCAGGAATGATTTTGTGTAATGGAAAAATATTTGTTGTTTGTGTTTTTTCTTTATTTCTTTTCTTTTTTTCTCTTTTCTCTTTTTTTCCTTTCCTTCTTTGTCATTTTTTTGTGGAGCTTATATTTTTATTTTCCATTATTTATATTTGTTTTGGTTATGGATTTTTTTTTATTTGTAAAATGAATAAAGCAATTTAAATTAAAAAAAGAAAAGGAAGGGGCCCTGCGGGTCATCTAGTCCAACCCCCTGCAACGCAGGAGGAGAGCCTTAGAACAGATGGAGCACTCTCTGGCCCTGTTCCTTGCAAAGTATCTGCCTGTTAGTTTCCCCCTCACCTGGAAGCGAATGTAGTCAAGAAGGCAGAAATGCTTGGCATACGCCCTGAGGTACTCCAGGAGCGCAGAGTGGCGCAGGTAGTTGGGGCAGTCCTCGGGGAACGGAAAATCACTGAAGCAGGTCATTTCCTTGGAGGTGTTGGTCATAACCGATCTATAAACACCAATTCTTCCCTTTTGAGGCGTTTCCTGTGTGGCAGTAGCAGTTACACAGTAAGTAAGATGCCAGAGTAAATCATTTACACTGCGAAATTACACTGGTTTCAACACTAACTTTACAAGGGGAAGGGTCAGAGAATAGTGGCCATCTGCTTTGCCTACAGAAGGCCTGACATCTGAGAACTGCTGCCAATCACTGCAGAAAATAGTGAGATAGATGGACTAAGGTTCTCACTTTGTATAAAGCAGCTTCCTAGGCTCTTAGTATCAACCAAAAAAAAAACACACCACCTTCTGTGGGTGAGAGTTTTGACAGGGTGTTGATAACTTTCTGTTAGCAATCCTTGGCTATAAGGTGGGTCAGTGATGCCACCAGATTACGATACAATACGATAGGATACAATATCTTTATTGTCATTGTCCCATGCAGAACAATGAAATTGAAAAACTACATAAAACATTCAAAAAACCCTAAAAACTCTGAAACCCCATTTTAAAATACACTATACTATAGAGAGGGACGCGGGTGGCACTGCGGGTTAAACCACAGAGCCTAGGACTTGCCGATCAGAAGGTCGGCAGTTCGAATCCCCGTGACGGGGTGAGCTCCTGTTGTTCGGTCCCTGCTCCTGCCAACCTAGCAATTCGAAAGCACGTCAGGGTGCAAGTAGATAAATAGGTACCACTCCGGCGGGAAGGTAAACGGCGTTTCCGTGTGCTGCTCTGGTTCGCCAGAAGCATCTTAGTCATGCTGGCCACAGGACCCGGAAGCTGTACGCCGGCTCCCTTGGCCAATAAAGCGAGATGAGTGCCGCAACCCCAGAGTCGGCCACGACTGGACCTAATGGTCAGGGGTCCCTTTACCCTTTACCTTTATACTATAGAGACCCCTTATGCTGCATTTAGAACCAGAATTGCATTTGCGTAGAAACTGTTTCTCAGGTGGCTAGTCCTGGCCTTTGTAACCCTATACCGTCTTCCAGAAGGCAGAAGCTGAAAGAGATCATTTCCGGGGTGCGTACTGTCCTGCGCTATCTCTGCCACTTTCTTATGGCACCTGGCAGCATAGATTTGATCTAAGGTGGGAAGAGTGCACCCAATTATTCTCTCTGCAGTCTTTACAACCCTGGATAGCATTGGTTTTTCCCTGACCCTGCAACTCCCAAACCACACACACAGACCATAAGTTAACACGCTCTCCACAGTGCAATGGTAAAATGCCATCAACAGGTCCTTTGAGAGATTGTTTTTCCAGAGGATTCTCAGAAAATATAACCTCTATTTCAACTTGTTAGGACTTTGCAAAGCCAGTGTCTGCTGAAAGGACGCACAAAACAGGATTCCTCTGATTCTGGTGGAGAGCAAAAGATTGTACATGCATTTTCATGCATTCAAAATGTATAGCTGAATGAAGCTTGGGTGGGGGAGGAAGCAGGGTTATTCAGACTGCTCTTGCCCCTAATTTATACATTCAGGGTGTCAATAGAACTTACGCAAGTACAACTATTCTTTTACAGAGTTCCCAGCTGCGTGGAAAGTAACTTACCAGCACTCTCTGTTCTGACCTTCAGATGAATGCATGTAAATGAAAGGTGGGAACTGTGCGTGCAGTTCAGTTTCTCCACATGGTCATTCTACACAGGTGGAGAGTATGAAAAGTCAAAACAAAATGTGGAAACATGCTTCCACAGCAGGTTTACCACACTAGTGATGCACACCTGTACCCACTTTGAAGCAAGGCCACTGTCTCTTGCCTGGCTTTGGGCATGCATTCCAGCAGCAGAATGCCATCACTTTCTTTAAAGCTCTAAATTGAGTTTATGCCACTTACTGTGAATTGCCACAGTCCTCCGATGCCATCGCTCTTCTCAAAGCAGGTTGGCTCCAGCCCTTCATCCAGGCAGCATTTGATGGAGGCCAGTCCACTCACACCTGCTCCAACAATTGCCACTCTTCGCACCATGGCTCACTCTGGTGTCTGGAAAGAATCTTCTCGGCACACTTACTTCTACAGGAGGAAGTTAGCTAAAAAGTTATTTCTTCCGCATACAAGGAAAGTGCAAAGGTCATGCTTCCTGTAAATCACAGGAATGTTGCATAAGCTGCTATTTCCCAATCCCAGTAACTGTTCCCAGATGTTTGTATTTGTCAATCCTGGTAGTGAAGTTAACAAAGCAGCAGTATTCACTTTGGTGTGTTTGAGTGCTGTGTATTTCCCATTGCTACCAAGCATTCTGACTCTTCCCTTCCCCCAGAATGTTCACACTACTCACTGTGACCGAGCAACACACTTCCATAAATTATGAGACAGAAGCATAACCAATATTCAGCAAAATATATCAAGTAGTTAAAATAAGCACAAGCAAATAACATTCATGTCCCAAAGTATGCTTTTCTATGCCTGGCTCTTCTATGCCTACCAAAGGGGAAGACAAAAAAAGAGGCTTTTTGTTAAGTTGTGGGTGAACATATCAGATAACACAGCGATTCTTCAAACAGCTCTTTTTTATTCACAGGCCAGAACAGAACAGGGCTGAAGGGTTCAGCCAGTCTGCTTATACAGAGCTCCAATACAATGTAAATGTAACAACTTTCTGTAACTATCTAATCCCTGAACGTCACTTTCAATTCCTTATTTGCATATGCGGACCTGAGTGAAAACTATCTACAGTATTCCCCCTGCTGGCCCAGGGTGAGAACTTCAGTACGTAACACTTTTTGCTGTAGTTATTACTGTTTCCAAGAAAATGTACTCGCAACAGTGGAAAGTTTGTAAACGTCCTGAATGCAGCTGAGAGCAGGATTATAACATCACTGTTTACTTCCTCCGTCTACTGCTCATCCGTCTACAGCTCTTTAGTTGCCTCTAAGGTTACAACATTTGTGGCTTTTTAAGTTTAGTAAAACAAAATGGAAGTGGGGACATGGTAGAGGTCTATTAAATTATGTGCTATTCTCCCAACAATGATCTGTCTGCTGTGGATTTTAGGTGACTTTGACACAGGTGGGAATGTCACCACAAATTCCTTCTCTAGCTCCCTGCCCCCCCCCAAAGGGTAAGGAGAGGTCATGGGCAGCGTGTGGCCTGATTTGTGTGTCTGAGGTTATGATAATCTCTCCTCATGTTGCAGATGGAAGCCTTCTGACTTGTGGGCGGGCAGGCAAGGAGGATGGGAGCAGAGCAGGGCTACCTATGAGTCGTGGGGAGAGAGTATTTGTGAGTGGACTAAAGCTCCTCTCACTTGCTGCTTTAATCCTGGCTGCAGGGAGAGGGGCAATCTGAATCTAAGGGAACTTCAGCTCAGGCCTAAAAGAGGTACCTGATAATCTTGAATCAGTGCTTGAAGTTAGTGGTTTCTTTTCTTTTTCTTTTTCCCCTCTCTCTAAAAAAAGTGAGGCCATCTGCTTTGGAATCTGTGCTGTTTAACCCTAAGCATGTGGGGACAGGTTGCAGCTGTTGGTGAGCAAAGGCATAGACTCTGCACATGCTCAGGTGCTATCCTTACTGCCTAAATTTCAGGCCCTGCTGTTGAATGTGTGGCACGTCTGTGTATGTGGCACCCTTGTGTGTTTGCATCTGGGTGTGTGTTTGTACGTGTGATACCTGGGTGTCATGACCTGGCCCAGGAAGTATGTCAGAACCCGTAGAACGCACCCCTATGCTCTCACCCTCTGTCAAAGACATGTTTCTGATACACAGCCTGCTAAGTGCTGAGTCTGCATAAACATGCTCTCACAGTAACAACCACAATGTGTCTGTGTCATTGTCCTGTATAAAAGCAGATACCTAGCTAACCAGAGCTTTTTATTTTATTTTTTAAAAAAAATATTTATTAGGGTTTTCACAATATTACAAAATGAAAAAGAAAAAAAAGAAAAAATACAAAATAAAAATAGTTAAAAACAATTCAATCTTTCCATCACTTATCTTTCATTTGCTTGTTTCCCGGACCTCCTCATACCTCCCTTTTTTGTATTCCAGTTCAATTTATTAGTTCAGCAAATCCTTTCCCTCTTTGTTTTATCCTGATCTTTAATCTTAATATATTATAGCATTAAATTTTTACCTATTAAAAATCCATTTTTTCATATTCTTTTATACCATTACAGCTAAAAACCACTTAACTTCAATCCAACATCATTCTAACATTCATTAATTTTGCAGTATTTCTGTAAATAGTCTTTAAATTTCTTCCAATCTTCTTCCACCGACTCTTCTCCCTGGTCTCGGATTCTGCCAGTCATTTCCGCCAATTCCATGTAGTCCATCACCTTCATCTGCCATTCTTCCAGAGTGGGTAGGTCTTGTGTCTTCCAATACTTTGCAATAAGTATTCTTGCTGCTGTTGTGGCATACATAAAGAAAGTTCTATCCTTCTTTAACACCGATTGGCCGACTATGCCCAGGAGAAAGGCCTCTGGTTTCTTCAAGAAGGTATATTTAAATACCTTTTTCAATTCATTATAAATCATCTCCCAGAAAGCCTTAATCCTTGGGCACGTCCACCAAAGGTGAAAGAATGTACCTTCAGTTTCTTTACATTTCCAACATTTATTATCGGGCAAGTGATAGATTTTTGCAAGCTTGACTGGGGTCATGTACCACCTGTATATCATTTTCATAATATTCTCTCTTAAGGCATTGCATGCCGTAAACTTCATACCTGTGGTCCATAACTGTTCCCAGTCAGCCATCATTATGTTATGTCCAACATCTTGTGCCCATTTAATCATAGCAGATTTCACCGTTTCATCCTGAGTATTCCATTTCAACAGCAAGTTATACATCTTTGACAAAATCTTAGTTTTGGGTTCTAACAGTTCTGTTTCTAATTTTGATTTTTCCACCTGGAAGCCAATTTTCTTGTCCAAATTATATGCCTCCATTATCTGATAATAATGAAGCCAGTCTCGCACTTTGTTTTTAATTTCTCAAAACTCTGCAATTTCAGTCTATCTCCATCTTGTTCCAAAATTTCCCAATATTTCGGCCATTTGACCTCCATATTGAGCTTTTTCTGAGCTTTCGCTTCCATCGGTGACAGCCACCTTGGGGTTTTGTTTTCCAATAAGTCCTTATATCTTATCCAAACATTAAACAATGCTTTCCTGACAATATGGTTTTTAAATGCTTTATGTGCTTTGACCTTATCATACCACAGATATGCATGCCATCCAAATACATTGTTAAAACCTTCTAAATCCAAAATGTCTGTGTTTTCAAGAAGCAGCCATTCTTTCAACCAGCAAAAAGCTGCTGATTCATAGTAAAGTTTAAAGTCTGGCAGGGCAAATCCACCTCTTTCCTTTGCATCTGTTAGTATTTTAAATTTTATTCTAGGCTTCTTGCCCTGCCAGACAAATCTAGAAATATCTCTCTGCCACTTCTTGAAACAGTCCATTTTGTCCACAATTTGCAATGTTTGAAACAAAAACAGCATTCTAGGCAATACATTCATTTTTATCGCAGCAATACGGCCCAGCAGTGAAAGCTTCAAATTTGACCAAATTTCTAAATCTTTTTCACTTCAGCCCAGCATTTTTCATAGTTGTCTTTAAATAAATTCCCATTTTTTGCTGTCATGTTAATCCCCAGGTATTTGACTTTCTTAACCACTGTTAATCCTGTCTCATTCTGAAACCTCTCTCTCTCAATTGGTGTTAAGTTTTTCTCTAAAACCTTGGTTTTTGACTTATTCAGTTTAAACCCTGCAACCTGACCAAATTCTTGAATCAGTTCTAAAACCCTTTTGGTACTAGATTCTGGCTCCTGTAACGTCAATACCAAGTCATCTGCAAATGCTCTCAATTTGTACTGTTTGGCTCCGACTTGTATACCTTTAACCAACTGGTCCCTTCTAATCATATTCAGCAAAACCTCCAGGACCGATATAAAAAGTAATGGGGAGATTGGGCAACCTTGTCGTGTCCCTTTTTCTATCTTAAATTCTTCCGTCACCACATTATTTACAATTAATTTAGCCTTTTGTTCAGAATATATTGCACCTATACCGTTTTCAAAGCCTTGGCCTACCCCCATACCCTGCAAGTTCTTCTTCATAAAACTCCAAGAAATGTTGTCAAAAGCTTTCTCCGCGTCCACAAATATTAAAACTGCCTTAGTATTTATATTCACTTGTAATTTTTCTAAAATGTTGATTATGTTTCTCACATTATCCGATAGATGTCTACCCGGAGAAAGCCTGCTTGGTCTTTATGTATCTCTTCCACTAACACTCTTTTTAGTCTTTTAGCCAAGATATCTGCAAAAATTTTGTAATCCACATTGAGCAATGATATGGGGCGGTAGTTCTTAAGCTGCGTCTTTTCAGTCTCTGTTTTCGGTACAAGTGTAATATACGCTTCTTTCCACGACTCTGGTGCCCTTTTCCCATCCATTATTTCATTACAGACTTCTTTCAAAGGTTGTACTAACCATTCTTTTAAAGATCTGTAGTATCTAGAAGTCAGTCCATCCGGTCCTGGAGATTTACCTAGTTGCATATTCTGAATGGCACCTTCTATCTCCTGTTCAGTTATTTTATAGTTCAACATTAGTTTATTTTCTTGGGAGATTTTTTGTAATCCATTTGTTTTCAAGAATCGGTCTAAGTCAATTTCTTTTTGTGGCCCTTGTGTATATAGTTGTTTAAAGTACCTCTGGAAACAATTTCTAATCTCAGCTGGGTTCTGTATATTCCTTCCTTCCACTTCTAGATTAGTAACTGTATTTAATTTTTGTCTTTTTTTCATTTGCCAAGCCAGCAATTTCCCACATTTATTAGCCGACTCGAATGTCTTTTGTCTCATTTGTTTAATTTTCCATTCTATCTCCTGATTCATCATTTTCATGTATTGTACTTGATGTAACTTTATTTCTCTCAAAATCTCTTGCGACTTTGGTTTTGCTCTCAATTTCTTTTCACTTTCCTTTATTTTCTCCAAAATTTTATCCTTCTTCTCATTTTGGATTCTCTTCTTCAGTGCATTCTGTTGTATCAAGAACCCTCTCATAACAGCTTTACTTGCGTCCCAGATTACTCT